AAAGGGTCTGAAAGTTGCTAAATCTAGTGCTAAAGTCACGCTCGTGTGTGTGAGACGCGGGAGCTGATGGCAGGGGGCGGTGGATATTTGTGGTGGTCAATGTGGATATTGTGGATGAGTTCTTCTGTGTCATCACGTTCTATTAGTTCTACAGCTTCAGTTTCGGAACTTTCACGCTTAGTAACACATACAGCTGTTCCCTCACCACAGTGCAACAGTGAAAAGGGACTTCTTTCAAACAGTGTCTCGTTCCTAACGTTGTTTAAGCGACATAAACCGGTATTGCGGCATTTTAAAAATTCATATCATAACAAAAATAAACACCGGTATTCGGTATGAACCGGTATACCGCCCAGCACTAATATTTTCTGATAAGCTCACACTTGGAGAGAGTCCCAGCATCATTGTTTCCAGCTGATCTTTATTAACAGGCACTGTTATCTGCACACAGCTGCTGGTGTCCACACATCCTTTTTTCTTCTGTTTATGGAGACTGTTTATGGTCTGTTCAACTGAGTGCAGATCATTTGCTTCAAATTGAAAATTCATGTTTTCACTTTATTTTATCAGTGGAATTTCAGCAATGAAAATGCATTAAATAAAACAATATAATATAATATAATATAAAGCATAATATAATATAATAATCAGTATTTGTCCATCAAATTGCCAAAAATATGCCTGTACTGTAAAAATAGTGTGCATTATATAAACATTCAATTCTGCTTTTAAAGTGATTCTGGGGGAAAATGGGGATAAAATGTAAAAAAAAAAAAGTAATTTAAAATGTAAAATGTAGGGATAAAATGTAGACGATAAGAGAACTTCTCAGATTCTTCTCGCAAGAGAGAGAAAGAGAGAGAGAGAGAGAGAGAGAGAGAGAGAGAGAAAAAACAGTAATCTGACATTTCAGACAGTTTCAGGAGAGACCTCAAAATCTCATATGAACTGAAATGTTTTTCATCAAATTCCTTCAGAACCAAGTTATCTGAGCTATACTATGCATTCAAATTTTTAGCTGTATTATGTTCGAGCAGTAACATAGCCTGATCCATGGCAGAAAAAGAAACACTGTTTATTTGAGAGAAAGAACACTGCAGCCTTTGTTCTGCCATTCTGCAGTGCACTTTCATAGAGATGGCCCAGAGGTTATGACCAACCATAACACATTGACAAAACATCACAAAGGCACTTGTAAAATGATGAAAAAATGTCATTAAGAGCTGGCTGACCCGAAGAAAAAATCTATTCTTTCCCACAGGAAAATAAATGCTGGGAAAAGTAAGGTCAAACATCCAGCCTTAGAGAAGAAAGAGGTAATCATTTCCAACATGAAAATGTCTGTGAAAGCAGTTTAACTCAAACAACACTGGGAGGAGACAACCTCCCAGATTCACATGATTCTCATCATCCTACAACTGATAAAGCCACGCCCAGTGTTGTCCAATGTAGCAATGTTTATATTAACCCCTTAGCATTCCTGTAAAATTTGCCTAGAACGCCTACAAAAGGCATACCCAAAGTAAATTGCATGCTGTTCTTGAACCATTTGGAGTACAGTATATGCATGGTTTTGGTCTCTTTTGAAAGGCGACACTCTGAGGTTTGTTCTGTTTAGGATTGTCACTGTAAGTCTTACTGATATTGCGTAATAGAACTTTGAACACACTGAAAAAGGAAAAAAATTCCGCCTACATTTTTTTTTTTTTGTAAACAGATGCCTGCACTGCAGATGACAATAGCTGGGAGCTATTAGCTGGAAAACACAATGGGATCACAGCATGAAGCCTTGTTGGCAAAGACACTGATTATACCTGCTCTGTTGATTGTATCTTAAAATGGAATCAGCTTTCCAAAGATATGTTTAGCTTCTTTTTTTTTTTTTTCTCGAGTTGTATGCCACGAAGTTACAGAGGAACACTAACAGGTTAAAGACAATGAAAACAAATATAGTGAAAGTAACCATGCTATGGGCTATTATGTGCAAAAAGGGGCTAAAATCACATTACATCGTAACATTACAATCTAAAAACAAAATCAATGCTCTTTAAATCAGAAGTTAAATTCACTAAACTAAAAATTAAAAGAAATAAAAACAAAAGAACAGATTAATTGCACTATATTTTGATTACCCCTTTACAATAGTCACTTTACAGTTACTGCTATCATAAAATACACTTACCTGTAGGTTTACAATTCTACACATGGCACATTTATTGTCCAACTACAAATATTTTAGCAAAATGTATATTTTAGTCAGAATCATTGCGCTCCTTTATGGCGCATGTTCCCTGAAGTCTGTGAAGTTTAGCAGAAAATCGCATGCAGAAGGCTCATGCGCTCCTGACAGCAAAATGGAAATATTTCTATGACTTTTTAACACATAAAGATGGAGAATATATGTGTGAAATGTAAGTCTCAAACACATTAAACGTCACAAGTTGCTTCTCTGTAAGCAGCACGTATCTGTCAGAGCATCTGATGGGGTAAACCGCTTTAAACTATACGTGCTAACTATATCCTACCAGTTATTTTAAAGCCCTTTATATAAGTATATCTCATGTTTAGGACAAATTGGATTATGCACTTTCCCCGCAGCAGCTCACTCTGTGTCCTCTGCTATTTTTCAGATGCGCTTGTATCAGACTACTGTATATCGATATACTGTAGGTGGTATTGCCTCATATCATATATATATATTGATATATATTGATATATCATACAAACTCAATATACTGCCCAGCCCTAAATGCCAATATCATACAAACACACAACACAACATTGAATATCAAAAATCACTGATATAAGTAGAACATACAAAATAATAAAAACAGACTTACATTATACCAGCTTTGACTTTTCTGTGAGTTTGAAGAATCCGAATTTGATGGTGGAAGAAACAACAGAAGAGCAGAGGAACATTAGAGTGAATTTTTAAGGGAGTCATTCAAATACATACAAACACTTATATTAGACTATACACATATTATACACACATCAACAGGGTTTAATTCAAAATCTGCAGGTATACCTGTGTGTTGTCCACAGATTCCTATCTATCTATCTATCTATCTATCTATCTATCAAAAATGTTTGATCAACACAGGTATAAAGTGCACTTCATTTGAGTATATCATAAAACAAAGGATTATGGGAAAGCTCTGTTTGTGTATGGGATTTCATCGGTGCTTGTATCATTACACATTCCTCATACACAAAGCTGTGAATGACCACCACAAGGGGGCAGTATTTACACTAAATGAAACTTTTTCTTTAAAATGTTGCTAAACGTTTTGTACATTTTATAAAGAACTGATCTACAACATCACAACTACCTCAAAACAATCTTAGCAGTGATTATAATACAGTTTTATGGTACATACACACAAATAAAAGACCTAAAAGCAATCTTTGCAAAACTCTCTTTCTCTAACTCCAAACATCAGCAGAATGGAGACAGATGTGTAATGAGAGCATTGGACAGAGCATTGGGACTCTACAGTTCTCTACTGCAGACTCTTCTCACAGGACGGGTCAGGACTCAAGGGCACAAATACTGATTTCTTACTTTAATCAGGTTTAGTCTGTCATACTGGAAAGAAAGTTTATCATGAGTAAGAGGTCAGGTGTGAGATGTTTTACTAATATATATATGTTTTTCTGCCTCTGCGACACAAGTAATTTGTCTCTACTGTGGCATCGTTAACTGAAATCTGCTTTGGTGTGATGCTGCCTCGGTACAGTTTGTTGTCAATTACAAGTTAACAACTTTTTTCATAGTGTATCAGACACACTTCAAAACATTTTACTTGGCATTACTAGCTAGCTTCACACAGGGTTTGTTTAGTATCTACTAGGTTAGCACAGACAGGTGAAGCAGAGCATAATGGGATGGCTCACAGGCAAGGTGGAGGTACAGTAGAGCAGAAAAGAGTGATGCTTACTTTAGACAGTCTCTTTTGTGACTAGCATGCACGAGAGGAAGAACAGATATCAGAAAACAAACAAAAACAAAACTGTATGAATAAGTGCAGAGAAATGAAAAAAAAAAAAACTGTTGGGTGGTAAAGCTTCTCCACATAGCAGAAGAGATGTTCTGTGAATTACTCCTGTACATGAGGTGCTGATGGATATGAAATGATTATGCAACGATTACTGACTTCAAATCAGACCAGAATGTAATGTGCCTCACATTGTGACAGGCGTAAAGTAGTTCTCAAATGATTTCCTTTTGTAAAACATACTGTTTCATAAAATACATTGTTCTTCTTGAAGAGGAGAACTTAACCTTTTATCTTGCAAATGAAATCCTTCAACAGATGCAATGATATGAAAATGAAAGCAAGAGTTCAAAATCTACTGAGCTGCCTCACAGTCTACTGTACATCTTTAGAAGCAAAATATTTAAGTACAAATAAAAATATTAAATTAAAGATATTATAATAAAATACATATTCATATTAAATATATTACATATAAATGTGCATATATATATATATATATTTATTTATTTATTTTTATTTAGTCATTTATTAGACGCTTTTATCCAAAGCGTAACTAAAATTAAAATAAATAACAAATACAAATAATACAAATCAAATGACAGTAGTTTATCAGTAATCCTAAAAAATAACACTGCCAAACACACATGCTAAAAAACAACAACTTATTTACACATAGTAAGAAATGGTTATAAAAACTGAAACAGGAGCGAAACAAGTAATAGGAAAGATGAGAAATAAAAAGCGATACTTATATATATATATATATATCGACTCATCTGGGACTGCCACAATGAATATGCTGCTAACATAATATGATGTCTGAAAAAGTTTTTTAGGTAGGCAGCTCACTGGGTTTTGAAGTCAATTTACTGGAAAACTAAAACTGTAAACATTGTTATCATGTATGAACATGTGGACTATCATCTCTATGAGTATAAATCATCTGCAATTGTATAATGTGCCTCAGAATTTAGTTTAAAAACCTGCACTGATAAGAAATTTGATCCCATAGTAGCAATAAATGTGCAAGACATGCAGTATATGAAAACGGAGAGAGCAGAAGTACAGTAAGTACAGTCACACGTGTTTACCTTGGAGTTCTTCCCTGCGGGGCGGGTGGTGTGAAGTGACTGGCTGTAGGTGCGCTGGATGGCCTGTTCCGGGGTGGAGGGGGATTTATCGGAGGAATGATCGGAGCTCTTTTCCACCATGTTCTCTCCCTCTGGACTCTGGGGCGTTGGGGAGCGTGAGCGTTTACGCAGGACAGGTGAGCAGGCCGGCGAGCTGCGGTTCGAGTTACTGGCAGTGCTACAGAAACAAGACAAATATCCAGTAAAAAACAGATTCTACACTTCAAAAGGAATACAAATGTTTGTTGGACGATGGCCGGACAGTTAGCACACGACTTCCAGACACACTGATCCGTGGTGCTCATGTGGGAGATGGTTCAAGTTTTCTTTAAACCAGCAAAAGGCTTAATAAACATACTAATAATAAGCCATGAACTCATTTTAAAAACAACAGAAGTCAACCACCAAACACACATTTTCCCTGCAGGCCACTCATTGGCCTTTCACCTCTGCCCTGTCAGCTTCTAGGAATGTATTCAGACAGACATCTCACAGCTCTGACCAAAAACACAGCAGTGGGGGTCACATCAAAAGCCGCTGCAGTTCTGCTGGGAATTTCCACATCACTGACATCATCATATTATATTTAGAAGAAATTATGAATGTAAATTCAAAAGGTGTTTTTAGATCAGAGAAACAAGATTGGTCAAAACACAGGAACTAAACATCTGATGATCTTTCTAAAGCACAAAACTGAGAATGTAAAAAAAGGAAGGAAGAAAGAAAAAATGAAATTAAACAGAGAGCAATAAGAGACCTTTCCTTTTGTCACGGAGTGACTGAGACGTGAGACGTGCAGATCCAAGTGCGAAGCTTTATTAACCGACATGGTCAGAAACAGGCAAGGGTCAGACAATGGCAACAGGTATATAGAGGGCAAGACACAAGAATATTCCTAGGGCTAGCGTGGGTCTACGATCGGCGAACAGAATCAACAGGGCGAGACTAGAGGGATAAATCCAGGTACAAGGCAAAGGTCCAGGCAGGGGCAAACAGTATCCGAATAGGGCAAGACGAGAGGGGGAATCCGAGATACACAGGCAAAGATCAGAACACGAGAAAACAGACAAGGAAAGACTAAGATAAGGTTATGAAAAACTAGACAGGATCCATAGAGCAGCTATCACTATGAGAGTGATAAACGCTATACAATACTCGGCAGTTTGAAAAGGATCAGAGTGAGTGTTGTATAGTGAATGTGTGATTGGTTACAGCTGTGTGCAATCAGTGCCGTGTGCAATCAGTGCAATGGATGATGGGATATGTAGTCCGGGATGACATGCAAAAGTTTGTGTAGTGCGAGAGTCAATGTAATGGAAGGGTGACCTCTGGTGGTGAGTGAATTGAAGTTCATAGACCGGATTCGTGACACCTTTAGTCTCCTCTTTCTCATATTTTTCTCCTGAGACAAATATAATATCCAACAAGTTCTCAATGTAGGCTTAGATTTTTCAATCAATTCAATCTGCAATCAAAAATCTCAATATGAACTCAAATATATCTCTCTAAATTTTCCAGTACCAAATGAACTGAGTTATACTTTTGTATTGCCTCATTTTATTTCTCCAAAGAGCTTTCAGGAGAAACATCTCAGGCAAAGTTGATACTTAAAATAAAGCATAACTGAGAACTCCATTAATTCTTCTAGGCTAATGAAGAGTAACCTCTAGACATTAAAGTCGTCTTCTGGGAAGAACCACCAGAATGACACTCACTGGCTGACCTCAAACTCACAGAATCTCTCAATCAGACTATTTGCTTACAAAGGTCAAGATCATGTTAGTAATACAGAAAATGAAAAGCTTTTTTTTCAATCAGAAGGGGAAGCACTTCATCTATCTCTGTCTCAATCTCTCTATGCAGCAATCCTCCATCTTTCTGCTGTCAGCCTTTCATCTGTCCCTCAGAAAGGGCACCAATCTTAATTATTAATGTTCGGTACCTGAGCTAAGAGCTGCCCGTCTGGAAAAACAAACACAGTGTGACAAAAGAGAGATAAAGGGAGAGAGAGAAAGAGAGAAAATACAGCAACTCATAAAACACCTCACAATCTCTCTGGGTTCATATCAACCTAATGCACTTGTGCACTCGGGCAGCCGTTCCCTCCCAGAACACACATCCACGTGTTGTACAAGGTTCTGACGGCGAATAAATCATTGCAGATGAAATCACTTCACAGAAACAGTGGCATCAAATTACCGGTGCATAGATATATTTCATATACAAAGTGAGGATGGGAAGCACAGTTCTGTTAAATTAACTGCTAAGCTGATTTTAAATTCTGTAATATTTTGTCTAAATAAGTATTCTAAATAGTAAAATAAATCATTTTAAATGCCATTAGTGAATTTAGGTATCACAACTTTTATAATGTACAGTATGAAAACTGATCTAAAATGTAAAAACATAAAAACAACCATGCAGAATTAAATATTCAATACTGACTGATAAATCACTGATATATTTAAAAAAAAAAATAATAATAATATTTGTGCACCCCTACATACTGCCATGTTACTCACCAGGATTATTATAGTTAACTAAAAATAAAACCATAAAAAAACATTTTCATTACCTGAAATAAAATAAATGTTAATTAAAACACATATTTTAGCTAGTTGGCAAGGCGATATTTCTCATTTTCCTTCAGTTTAACTAAACTAAAATAATGTTATAGACATTTAAATAATTATATAGACATTAACAATTTTTTAAATGACAAAAACACCACACAATTGCTAAAATTGTACTAAAATTAAAATGAAAATCTTCATCCCAATTACAGTGCATTACAAGGAATATCATCATTTTATAATTCTCTGGACATTGAATATTCTTTTGTACTCTTCTTCATCTTTTCTTTTTTTATTTTATTATTATGTATTAAGTATTCCTCTTACAAATCTGAGCTATGCGTGTACCCTTTTTTTGATGGTTCCTTGTTATATTTGTGCTATAATCACAATTCAATAAACATAATTATAAAAAAATACAAATATGTAAATAAAAACTAAAATTCAAAATATTAACAAAAAACTATAATAGTGTCTCAATGACACTAAAATAAAACTGCTACCCACTAGTTGTGCACTACATAGTACATATATTGTGCAAAGTGTGTGAATTATTAAAAAAAAAATGTCTACAGTACATACCGCACAGATTCCAATAAGCAGTTAGCTCGTAATCCATTCAAAACATGTCTTCTATAAAAGCTTTGTCCATCATGTCCTGCACCTGATGCTAGTGATAAAAGGTCTTTATCAAACATCCAATAGAAAAAAGCAGTTTTTGTGGGTGGCCGTATGGTTCTCCTCACCTCTCACCTGTCATAGCGGCGCTCATAAGGGACCTAATGACAGGCCACAGAGGTGTATTCACATGTGTATGTGTGAATGCAGTTTTCACATTTGTGCTTAAATGTTGAGACCAAAAAACCACCACGCATGGTCTAAGACATTTTCTCAAACCACCAGTCGGAGGATACAGCTCTCTCACGCTAGCCTACATCACAGAGAGCAAAAAGCAGTGATAAACATCTTTCTCACACTCGTTGAAGTGGGGAAAACACTCCTATGCGATGCAAAAAAAAAAAAAAATGCTTGCAACATGCAGAAAATGTGATGCATTGCTCTGATCAAATGACGCATATCAGATACTCTTCTAAAAACATCCAATTCATCCAATTCCAAGAAGAACTGCTTAGATGGGTTTAAAGATGCTGGTAACATCAAAGAAATTACTCGATTAAATATTGCAAGGTGGCAAAAGCATCTGTGATAACTAAAATACTGGAATACTGTGACAAATACTGTCCCTAATGGACATGTCAAGTGCGACTGCCCATCATACAAATGCAAAAACAATGACTTCCCTTCATGATTTTCATGCAAAAATCACACACAGACAAACCTGGTGGCCATGAGGGGCTACATGAAAGCGTTGGGCTCTGCTTCATTCATTCAGTGCGGCTGCAGTGTGGGGATGGAGTGATGTGACGAGAGAGGAGGAAAAGAGGAGGCGGAGCATATCATCTCTGAGTCCAGCATCCCTGTTTTTTCAAGCAAGCTTTCTCATTTTCTCGCTTTTCCGCATGGCCGTTTCCTCTGCTGTCCTGTTAGTCGCTCGCTATCGTTCTGTCAGGGTCAGCGGGGGCAGGAGGACGGTGAGCTGGCGTGAAAAACGGCTCCTGTGCGGCGCAGTGTGGCAGCTGGGGTTGATTTAATATTCATGGCTTTCTTGAATGAAGCCACTCACGTCAGCAGCCTGAACAACAAGCCAGTCTCTGGCTCTCTACCCCTCCCCCTGTCCAATCACACCACTCCCCTCTCTCACTTTTACTCGCTCGCTGACTCTGTCCACTCCTGTGATGCATATGCCAGCAAATCCTGCACGCATACATTTTGGACTGTATAACTTGTATTGTAACCAATATTACTATTGCATATTGCATATGTGTGAATGATGCCTCAAATCTTCAGTGTTGTTGAAGAGCAATGTGCTATTATTTTTCTTAACAATGAGACTTACAATTTTTTGGTGGATGATAAAAGAGGCAAAAATATGAATTCCTGTGATAACAAAGCTGAATTATCAGCATCATTACTCCAGTCTTCATTGTCACATGATCCTTCAGAAATAATTTTAATATGCTGATTTGGTGTTCAGTTATTAGGGGCCAAGAACCGAAGGTGCGATGGCAACTATTGTATCCGTTGGTGTTCTTCTTCTTCTTCTTCTCTGGGAGTCTATGGCAGCCCATTGAACCACTTGTGGGAAAGTTATGAAATTTGGCACGCAAATAGAGGACAGTCTAAACATTAACCATAGCAAGTTTGGAGTCTTGAACTCAAAACCTCTAGCACCACTAACTAGTTCAAATTTGCATATATGTTTATGCTAATAACTTTTGAACTGTAGAGTTTAGAAGCAAAATTAGTTTTTCCTCAGATTTCTTGGCTCATGCAAAGTTGAATGCACACCAAAATGTAAAATTCTACAGGTCAAGATTTTTCGCAATTTTTAATAGTTTAAAAAACCTACTTTTTCAAACTCGTCCTAGACGGTTTGTCTGATTTTCACCAAAATTGGCTCAGATCTTCTTCAGACCACGCTGGCTAGAAGCTATGGAATTCAAGTAGATTAGTCAAACCGTTCTTGAATAATGTGCGAACAAAT